CTTTCACTTTGAAAATTCTTAGAGTTTATCCGTTTTTCCATAATTTTTTGGTTTTTTTTATTTTTTTTGCTTTTCTTTTTTTGCTTTCCGTTCCCAAATTCTTCAAATTTTATTGAATAGTAAAAAAAATATTCAGTTACAAACTTCGTTTTCGTGCTTCTCTTTTTTCCAATTCTTTTTTTTTCCATTTTTTTCTGTTTATGCAAACATTGATACTGCATTTTGTTGCCAATTTCATTTCCATCGTCATCAACGTTGTCGTTGTCATCGTCACCAGTTGATTAGAATTTGTCAGTTGCTGAATTGCTGTCTCACCTTATCACCGTTATCATCGTCGTCCTCATCATCGTGATGACTGTCATCAGCGTTGTGTCTGCTATTAGCAGTATCATAGTCGCCATATCCACAGTTGCATCGTCATTGTCACCGTCACCACTGTCGCCGTCGTTGTCGTCGTCGTCGTTACATATCAAATGACATAAATATGTATCTTTCCTCATCTTCCCTCCTCCCATTCACCGCAATTTTTTTCAAAAACATCCGTTCAGCTCAAAAACTAATTTGAAAAATCTGTAGGCTAACTTGGCATTCACTGACAACTCCTATTCCTCGTTTTCCGTTCGTTCATCTTTTTCTTTTTCCGTCTACTGCCTATGTAGAATTTCCGTTTTTCTACTCATTTACCGAAGAATACATGTTTACACACGTATATCCATATATTGTGGAAGTATAGAAATATTTATCGATGTGTTATCATTGATCAGATTAAAATATTTATGCATATCCAGAGATCCTTCTTGATGTTATTGTAGTTGCTACTGGTATTTCGTTGTTGTTTTCATTTTTTATTGTTGTTGTTGGGGAAGGAGAAAAACTGAGAGGAAAAACATAGCAGTTTTTTTTGTTCTTTTCAGTAAAAAAGCAAAAAAAAAAAAATAAAAAGAAAAAAATTTTTTCCGATTTCTTTTCTAAATTTTTTTTGAGCAACACCAAATTACAAACTATTTCTAATACACATATGTCACATTCATAGACAAAAACATGCAAAAATATGTAGCACAAATAGTTCACATACAGATAAGTGCCCAACTTCCGTACCGCATTTCCTTATAAGCCAACGATTGTACTTATCCATTTCAACCGAAACTTTTTCACAAAATTTTTTTCTTTCTTCATTCTCAAAGTCAAAAAAAGAAAAAAAAAAGAAAGAATATCATCATTAAATTATTAAAAACTTTGATTTTGTTCTTTTTTCTTTTTGCTATTTTGATTTCTTCGCGAAAACTTTCAGTAAACTTTCATCTGCATCAGTTTCACAAATTATCTGCATCAGTTTCACAAAACTGGAGCTGAATCCTAAAAGGTGGCTGGGTAACGGTGATGAGTTGGATAGGTGAAACAGAACCGAAAAGGAACTTTTAAGGACACGTTAGCATTTTGTATATATGGTCAGCTATGACTGTTGCAATTTGTAGCAACAGACGATGACAAACAGATTTCTTTATTCAGTCTACAATTTTTCACTATAGATTCTGGGTCGACCGACATATTGTGTAGTAAAGTTAAGAAAGAATTAGACGTCATCTAGAATTCTGCAGCATCTATCGTTATCGGGTTGTTTTTGCACGTAAACCAGAAGATATACACATCAAACAAAGGTCATTGAGCTTTAGCTGGACAAATTTTTTTTTTTTGCTAGCCTGGCATCGTTTAGATGCTGCCTATACATATGTACATAACGGAACACTTTACAGACAAATAACATACACACACACACACACACACAGATACATCCATGAACATAGTATCATGGTGATTTCTTTTATTCTTCGTCTCTCTTCACTTCGACAACTAAGAAGCAAAAACTGAATACACACCACATACACACACACACACACACAAAAAAAAAACTTCTTTGCAGAGG